ATTATTAGAAGCTTTCTGATAATTTCCAACTGTATCCTAAAATTCTCCTTTTGTTCACACTATCTTCCTTTTCCACCAGACCCTTTAACATATTAATTTTAGTACTTTTTAGATTCTGGGCAATCTCTGAGTCAGGTTCTGTTGAGACATTTGTCTCTTGAGTTGTTTCTTTTGCTTTTTCTTTTCCTGCATGTTGTAATTTAAATTGATTGCTGTACATAGTATATAGAACAATAGAGATAGAAGTAAAGATTATCTAGAAACTGAAATGACCCTTCTGTTAGGCCTTTAGTACGACATGTTGACTCAATTTAAATTGGGAGTTGAGTTAGTTTTGTTACTGTTTTAATCACTGTCAGTTCACCATCAGCTGCAAATTTCTCTAGCATCACATTGTACCTAGGGTGGTAATTGGTTTACCTGAAGATTTTTCTCAGTGCTCCTACTCCTTTAAAGCTTTAAGGCTTTAAGGCTTTCCCTAAGTATGCCTTTCCCTATGTGAGATCTCTTCTGTATACTTGCCCCTCCACCAGTATAGGTTGCAGTTTCTTGCTGCTCAATGTTTCCTATCCTGTTGAGGTTAGGGAATGAGAGATATTCCACTTTCCTGGTTCAGGCATAGTTTTAACATTAACAGATACTATAACCCTTTTTCACAAAGGTGGTACCTTCATGGTAATCTCCAGTGGTAGGAAAAACCTCTAGTGCTTTGGTCCTAGTAGCATTTCTTGGCCCTCTTCAGGAGTAGAAAATCTTTCTTCCTGCAGTTGCAGTGAGTGACCTAAGAGCAATAGTTTACTCTCCTTCCCCAGTGTCATAAAGACGTTTCTTTCTTATTGGAAAAGATTTTTGGTGGAGCTTCATACCTTTCTCATAAACATGTCTGCTGCTCTCCTCCAATCCTTTACCCAAGGGTGATTATTTCCACTCTCTTGTCTATCCCCCAATTCTTCTCATAAGCTCTCAATGATATCTACAGAGGAGAACTTGCAAGGGTATGAATTCGCCTTCTATCGGTGGTTCCCAGGGACTCTATGTTTTTATACTAACCCACACTTGACCTTTAGAAATTTGTTGAAACTTTTAGTCAATTACTTATAACCTGCTTATATGAAGGCCACATCTTCTTCCCATTGCCAGAGGTCAACCAGTGCTCATGTTTATTAAAAATATTTATTTATTTATTTATTTTTGGCTGTGTCGGGTCTTTGTTGCAGCAGGTGGGATCTTCCGTTGTGGCACGTGGGCTTCTCTTTAGTTGTGGCGTGCAGGCTCCAGAGCATGTGGGCTCTGTAGTTGTGGCACGTGGGCTTACTTGCCCCATGGCACGTGGGATCTTAGTACCCCAACCAGGGATTGAACCCCCTGTTCCCTACATTGGAAGGTGGATTCTTAACCACCGGACCACTAGGGAAGTCCCTCATATTCTGTCTTGAAAGCACACATCTTTCCTCACAATTCAGGTTAGTTGGTTGCCCTGTAATCTCAGCTCTCTAATGGATTCAAGTTATGATTTTATAGTTTATCTGGCTTTTTCTTGTTGTTGTAGGAGTGATGCTTTTTCCAGCCTTCTATGTCTTATGTGGAATCTAGAAATTCCTGAAGTCTGTTTGTATCTTATTTGTTTAGGTTTTTTCTATAGTTGTTATAATGGGAATGATGATCTTTCACTATCTTCTACATTATGATTTAAAATCAAGTGTCCTAATAATCTTCCTAAAATGTAGATTGGATCATGACACTCCTTTGCTTCCTATCTTTCTGTGGTTTCACATCGTATAGCAAATTTTTTAAAGTAATACATTTTAAACTAATTCATTCATCCTCTCTCTCTCTCTCTCTCTCTCTCTCTCTCTCATTTCTTTTTCCTATAAGATCTTGCATGATCTTGTTCTTTCCTACCTTTACAACCTTATTTCATGCCATTATCCTTACTTTCTATAGTCTAGCCCAGGGGTTGGCAAACATTCTTTGTAAAAAGCCAGATAGTAATTATTTTAAACTTGGGCCATATGGTTTCGGTTACAAGTATTCAACTATGCTGTTGTAACATCAAGCAGCTATAGACAACACTAATTAGTTTGGCTATATTCAAAAAAACTTTATATATAGACACTGATACTTGAATTTCATATAATTTTGATGTCATGAAATATTATTCATTTTTAGTTTTTTTACTTCTAACTAAAAATGTACAAACCACTCTTAGGATTCAGGCCATACAATATATATATATATATATATATATATATATATAGCAGGTCAGATTTGGCCCATGAGCTGTAGTTTGCTGACCACAGTTTACTTACATTACATGGCAAGTACAATCCATTCCCTTTGGATTGACTTCTTTATCCTTAGGTTTGTCTTTAAATATGACCTTTGCACAGATTCCTTCTCTTAACCACACTTTCTAAAGTAAATATGTCTCTCTCCCTTGTCGCTGCATCCTACTTCCTTTTAATGTTCTTATCAAATTGTATAACTATAAGTTCATGTTTCCTTGGTTATTGTCTGTCTCCTCTAATAGATTTTAAGTTATTTGGTCAAGGACAATGTCTGTTGGGGTTTTATTCACCAATGCCTAAAACTATCATTTAGTAAGGATTAAATAAATATTTCTTAAATGTACTACTCAATCTCCTTCTGCCCTTTTCGCTTTAATTGCTTATTTGAAGGTGTTGATCCATCTGACTGCTTTAATTATGGATTTACTGAAGACACTTGGAAGGCTTAATTATGTCAAGCAGTACCAAGTCTATGGCTTGATGAACCTAGATTCATTTGCTTCCTCTTTGCACATCATGGACGACAACTTGATGGTAGATCTATAACCTATAAGTTACCATAGCTGAGTTCTAAAATTCCCCTGATTTTGTTGGGAAACAAAGTAGAAAACTTAGTAGTTGGCCTCAACAACACAGCTAAAATCTTGTATATCTTAAAGAAAGTAGGATGAGGAACAAAGGAAAGACTTTTTTATGAGGTCATAACTGAAAGTTTATTGATTAGTAGTAGCTATCTGAAATGCTGTATAAAGGATTGTGGGGCAGCATCCAGTTGTTTTTAGTTATGGGAGAAAGAATAGGCTACTGTAAGAAGAAAATTCAGTGGTTTAAAGAAATATTATTTCTTCCTTACATGACAGTCTCAATGTAAAAAGTTCAGAGCAGAAGGACATCTCTGTTTCTTAGAGTTGTTCAGGGACGTGGTTTCTTTCCAAGTCACTGTTCTTCCATCTCATAAGGAAGGGTCTGTCATCTGTAAGGTTGAAGGTGGATAGCCATTGTCTAGGTTGCAGCTGGTGGGAAGGGATAAGAGTGGAGAGGTGATCATACCCATCACTTCCCATTCACATTTCGTTGATTATAATCATCTAGCTATGCATAACTGCAAAGGAAGCTGAGAAATGTAGTTGAGCTGGACAGCCACATGTTAAACAAGGGAGAATATATTTTGGTGGGAAACTAGCAGTTTCTAGGGACTAGGCTTAGCAGGAATAAATGCAGGATTGTTTAATACCATCTGCCATGGATTGAAAGAAACTGTGATGTATTAGCTGTTCTTGCCTTAGGTGTGGAATGTCACGTTTTCTCTCCTAGAGGATCCTGAAGTTTAAGTATAATTCAACAGGTATTTGTTGAGCATCTCCTATGGGCAAGGCACTGTTGTTATAACGTTTCTGTGCAGGTACAAAAATAAACAGTCCTGCTTTATCACATATTGAAGAATCAGAGTCTCAACTCCAGATAATGGAATATCAGACATCAGCTACGAAGAAGGGGAGACACAAGCTTGAGAAATAAGGCCTTCTTGTACCTTGGAAATCACATCACACAGGTACTATACAGCTCTACCTATATATAAGTCTAGCTTTATAAAAGTGAGAATGTGGTTTCAGAGATATTAAGAAATGGGCAGAGAGCACTTGGCAGGATAATAGCTGCAAACACTAAGGTGAGAAAGGATCAGAATATAGGCAAGGGTTATAGAAGCAACTAAATGGCATTGTTACCTGGTTAATCAGCCTATCAAGTAAATGTGCAGACTGTCCACCCCACTAAATTAACATATGTTTTGGGACTCTAGGATATGAGAGCCCTTGCTTAATAATGGGTCCTTCTGTGCCTTGCTATCCTAAATCCTTCTGCCTCTTCTATGACTTCCCTTACAGGTTTATTTCCTCTAATACTGGCCATTACTCCAGCATGTCTTATTCCAAAGATGGACAGGTGAAAACAAAAACAAAACTTTGTTGGAGGAAAAAGTGCATAGGGATTGGCATTGGAAAGAGGAAGTTCAGCACTGTCTCTGGCTCAATTAAGAATGGCATTGGGCTTCCCTGGTGGCGCAGTGGTTGAGAGTCTGCCTGCTGATGCAGGGGACACGGGTTCGTGCCCCGGTCCAGGAAGATCCTGCGTGCCGCGGAGCGGCTGGGCCTGTGAGCCATGGCCGCTGAGCCTGCGCATCTGGAGCCTGTGCTCCGCAACGGGAGAGGCCACAACAGTGAGAAAAACGCCAACCGAACAAAAAAAAAAAAAAAAAAAAAAAAAAAAAAAAAAAAAAGATGTAAGATCCCAACAAAGGAGTAGAAACTCTTGCCTATAGACACTGGGGTCATGTGCCTGTGAAGTCACCAATCTAACATTCAGGTATTTAAGTATAGGAACATCAAAGATCCCTTCACCTACTCAAGGATTGGACCTGTTACCTTCTTTAATTACAGTGATTACCTTCCTGAATACATTCTACTTCCCACAGCCTTAAAAATATTTTTATGCACTATTCCTATCCCAGCCCTCTTCTTCAATAATTTTTGCTTCTCACATTTTTAAAATTGGGTTTGTGCTTCTCAGTATTCCTGACCAAAGCAACTGAAGCTAGAAAAAAAAAAACATCACCCAAACTGGGTGATTAAGATAATTTTTTTAAAAAATTGAGGTAACTAATGTGGTTAGGAAGGGACAGTGAGGTAGAACTTGTTACATCGAAATACAAAGTTTTCAAAACAGTACATTTTTATTTGGCATTAAACAACAAACTCCCCAATTTGTCTCAGTTGTGACATACAGACAGCTCTAGATTGCTTTTTTGCTGGTCACCCATGCTGAACAAGACTTTTCGATCTTCAAAACAGCCATGGCTCAGAGATTCTGCGTTTCACTTCAGTTCACAAGTCCAAGTGTGCCTTCCATTCATCGGAGCATTTTGGCATAGATTCCCTTTGAGGTAGAAGGATAAAGATGAAGCCATTTCCTTTGTAAAAAAAGATTTTTTCACAACTTCATTTATGCCACAAAAATCAGATGATAACATGTTCTCTTATTCTTGTTTAGCAGTAGTGGTAGTCTTGGGATGCCAGAAACTGTGAAAGGAAGGCTCTTAGTTACTTTCTCCTTTCTACTTTCCAATAATGCACCCCCCACCCCCATCTGAAGAAAGGGGAGTTACTGAATCCAGCTAATAGCACATATTAAACACCAAACATTATTAACATGTCAGATATACCTGATGATTAAATTAAAATGTGCAAAGCAAAAACTAGAAACATCACCTTCAAATCCTCTTCAAATTTGCTCCCTCCAGCAACTATCTTTTGCCATTCATCTATTTCCTTCTCCATTTACTTATGTTATTGTTGGCTTGCCATGTAAACTAAAGTTTAGATGGTTTGAAAGTATGTAAGAATTATAGTGAATAAAGTCCTGTTCCTCTGCAGTGAATTTTGACTTTAGCTTTAAGACTACCTTATGATGGAGAGGTAACATAGATTTAATTAATAAATTCCATAATTATCTAACCCAAGGCTTAATCAATAACCATTAAACAAAAAATTGTTTCTCAAAAACTTACAGAAATGAGTGGGGACAAAGGACTTTGTCCTCATCTCAACAGTGACCAGTTACTGGAATTGCATTAAACTAAAAACAGCAATCCCCAAGTTAGATTCAGAGGTAGTAATGCTTTTAAGGCCAACCCTTTTTAGAATCAGGTTTGACCTTTTCTTTCACTCTTCCTCCTATCCCACCCTCTGTGAGTGATTTAAAAAACAGAAAAGGCCAAAACCCATTTGGGCCTAGATATAGAAGATTTTTTTGGTAATTTTTCCGTCCAATTTTTGCCAATTACTTCCAATTTTTATCATTCTTAAAACTTAAGCATGGTAAATTGTTAAGCTATTTTCATTCACTGCATTATTTAATTATAATAAGTCTTTTCTTAATCAGGTTTTGCTGGTAAAAAGGAAACGATTTCTAAGTTGTAAGTTGAGAAGCTGTTGCAAAACAGAAATCATGTCTCCATCTCCAAACTTGCTAAGTACTACCAGAGGATTGTTTTTTAAAGAGATCTGTTTAGGCAGTGTATATTTGTTAGAATGTAAAAGGTAAAGAATTGAAAATAGACAAAACCTGTGTTGTTTCAAAACCAATTGTGGCTTAAGTATGAGTGGTTCCCCAAGGCTGGTACCAATGAGACTGAGGTTTGTACCAATGAGACTGAGGTTTGGGAATCAGTTGTTTTTCATCCCTCTTTCTGCCCACCAACAGTCACAGCCATTTTTCATGAGGGATGGGTTAGGAAAACTGAAGTGTTTATTATAAGGAAGGTTCCTGCAACTTAAGGAGCAAGCTCAGTAGAAACCCTTGCTTATTGTAGTGGCCAGAGTGGTAGAAGAAATATGGAGTAGGAATTAAACCACACATTATTATTGAGGAACTAAGCCATACCCCTAACCAGAAAACAGACCAAGAGGCAAGTTTTAAAAGTTCTCTGGGAAGGTATTCATTTTTTCATGTCTCTGGGGCCAACTGAGAACCTAGCTAAGGAGCTTATACACAATAGGCACTCAAACATACTTGTAGAGTGAATGAATAAATGAAAAAAATGAATAAACAGTAACCTCTCCTCTTATATTCCAATTTCCAAGCCAAGCAAGTGTCTTTCAGTCAAGATCTGAAATAGAATAGACACTTCTATTCAATGAAGAGTTTCACTCAATTTCTTGTTTTTTTTAATTGCATCTCCAAGTGCATTTTGTACCAGATCAATTTCATTTAGCATCACCTTCTTCAATGTTTGTGTGAATGAATAACTAAAAAGCTCTCTTATTCCTACTCTACAAAACATGCCAAAGAGAAGGTGATCTAATTAATCATTCCATCTCAGTGTCTTAATATCACAACTGCTCAATGAAGTTTTTTCAACTAATGAAAGAACTGCAGTCTCTTATTAAATTTGCTCTTGTGTTTCCTCCATAAGCTAGTTAGATTAAAGTGTATTTTGGTCTAGGTCTTTTAAATCTCTTCATTCTCCTCAGCAGAACAGTATTTCATTCAAGTGAATAATTTACAAAATATGGAAAATTTAGGAAGAATCTTTTTTGTTAAGTGGCTTCCTGACTTATGAAGCCAATGAGCAAATACTTTTAAAACTAGTTGTTTCATCTTAATTCTCATCTTAATTTAACTATAATAAAAGCAGAATGTTAAAGAATTAAAGGACAAACCCTAAGGCCTTTTATCAGTCTTCTGGCTTCAAGCTAGGTCAATGAGCAAGTGACATTGGGACTTTCTAGAGCCAGGAAAAATGTCTTCATTTTATATTGAAAGAACCATATCTTTTTTTTTTTTTCCTATTTTTTCAATTCCAAGACAAGTCAATAGGTTTTCTGGACCAGACTTAATCTACTAATTCATCCAGAGAACAGGAACTCAAGTATTTACTCAAAAATCAAAGGTGTTTCTGGATCTTCAGCTATGATCTGTGATCTATCTAATGCCCTTTAGACTAGGCCCATTTCAATTCTGTTATGTTCAGGACCTAGAATGATGTATTCCACATAAAAGATGCTCTGTTAATCAAATTAATCTAAAAGCCAACCTGAGCCATTTTTTACTCCTTTAATGTCTCTAAGCCAGGCCAGGGTGGATCTAATTCACCTCCATCTTCAGCATTTAAAAGACCAATGGAGAACCATAACACCTTGCTTTAAAAAAAAAAATTCCCATTTCTTTGGTCAGGCCAGGGAGCAAGTAGCCTTCTGGTATAGATTTTATCTTTCCACCTAGCTCAGCATTCAGCATACTGCCTTGCACAATTCCATTTTGCCCATGTTTTTAAATTTCATCAAATAGGCTTGGCAGTGGTTAAGTAACTTTCAATCTGGATTCCCACACCTGTTACCTCATTTCCTCCTGTGACCATCTGATAAGGATAACATCATTTTTATATCCTAGTGCATGTGCAGTTCTGAGCCTCATAGAAAGGAATCAGTAATCATTCATTAAGCCAACAGTTAATTCCTTATATCTGTATAGAACAGTAGGCTTTGTAAAATTTACACACAGATCTCTGTTGCAGGTTCAATAATAATGACGATGAATTTTTGCATCCCCAGTTGCTATCTCTGGGAATAAGAGAGAGTAAGTAATCAATGTCCATTCAGCAGATATGGCTTATATATTTATATATGCCAGTTTAAGACTTACAAATTGATTTTATACATTACCTTCTGCTGCCCAGAACACAAGAAAGATGGACTATCTTCACATCCCTGATGCTTATCAAGGAGACTGGCACATAATAGATAATTATTATCCAGTCTTGCATTCATCAGATATCTAATCCTTTACATATAAAAATGTTCAATAGTTAACAATCCTTCCTCAAATTTTTTGACTTTTTTTCATGGTATAGTAACTGTGATATAATTTTGTAAACCTAGTACTAGGCACACCAAATGAAAAAATCAATAGTTACATTTATATGGTGCTTTAGAGTCCACAAAATGCTAACATTGCCTTATTCTCAGCTTTAGGCACAATAAAATGATAAATTTGTATATCTCTTTATGCCTATAACGGTGAGTTCACATAGTAGGCAACTGATATTAATAATCCATTCATTTAACAAGCATTTAAACCCTCAGTTTGTATAACTATTTATACCACCTTTCTCATATGGGTCAAGCACACAATGAGAATTTTGTAGAGACCATGCCTGTCTCACATAAGTTTGTTCACATAGAAAACATCTAATGTCTTATATTTATACAGCACGTTATAGTTAGAAAGCTCAATCTCATTCATTACATTTTCCTGCTACCAGGGAAAATATACTGGTAATAATTTAATTTGATATCACCAGTAAAGTCTTTATTGATTAAAATAAGCAAGATCTAATTTTTACATCCAAATAGTATAGGACATAAACCTCCCTCTTATTACTTGGGAGCATTATCTTGGATTTCATAGTACCTGAAACAATAGCTGGTACATATAAGGCACTTAATACTTATTCATTCATTATAAACATATAGCCCATTGGTATTTATACAGTGCTTTAGTACAAAGCACTTTAATATGTATTGCCTATCTAAAAATTTTAATTGTTCTATAATGAGAACATTTTTTTCCCTTTGACATCTGTAGTGCCTAGCATGGTATCTGGCACATTATAAGTGATCACAATAGCTTAAATCCCTTGTATTTCCAGTGTATTTTATAGTTTAAAAGCAGTTTTTATGTTTTCTCTTCTGCGACTTGGAATACTGTATTTTTACTCAAAATCACCATAGCCACAGAAACACAATGGCCAGAAATACATGAATTATTCATTTATCAAACACTTAATTCCTAATATCTGTACAGTATTACATACTTTTGACAAAGCACTTTATTCATGCTTCTTTTATTCCTTGTATCTACAGTGCCTAGAATGTATATACTATGTAATCAATGTTCATTCATCAACTCTGAAACTTGTAAGTCTTTAAAGTGCTTTATAGTTTACAACTCACATTCACATATTTTTCTTCAGATCACCTAGATATAATCATAGTCATTGCATCTTTAGTGTCTAACACAGGGACAGGCACACAGAAGGAAATTAATATTGTTCAGCACACAGTCCCTGGCAATTACATCAGGGGTGATAAACTGTGGCCCACAGACCAAATTCACTTGCTTTTTTTAAAAAAAGCAACAGAGACCAAATGGCCCGTAAAACCTACAATATTTACCATCCGACCCTTTCAGAAAGGGTGTGATGACCCCGATTTACATAATGCTTCACAACTGGCAGTTCATTTTCAAATGTTAGCTGTGCATGGATGCCAATACACCATTAATGAGAATGCCTTGCTTTTTTTCTGTGTTTTACAGTGCTTTCATATATAATCTCAATCATTAAAATTATCTTTCCTCATGGTAAGAGGAAAAATATCAAGGAAGCGATTAAACCTCCTAAATATTCCCACCTTCTCTCATCTTTATGCCTAGAGGTAGGTATTAAACACAGGGGCAGGATTGGTACAGTTTACCACATTATTAGGCCACTACTATGAGCAGGGAGTTCAGGCTGCTTCCTTGGGGCCTCACTCTTTCCCAGGCCCAATCCTCCTTTTTCATAACTATCAGTAGGAACCCCAAACCTCAGGAATCCTGCTCACCCAAGCTCAAAGAAGTAATATGTTGCTGGCTGGTGCTTCTCAGCAAGCTGGCACTTCTCAGCAAGCTGGCACATCTGTGTATTTCTTGTCTAGTTCTTCTCATTGGCCTGGAGCATCTCTTCACATTTTCTCTAGATAGCCTGGCACTTTTTTTCCACTCAGTAACCTGATGCTTTACTTCTCTCATCAGCCTAGAGCTTCTGAGGAAAGAGGGGACTGAAATATAAAGTCACCTATGTGTCCCTCTCAAGTGGAGAGGAGGTGAAGAGAAATGGAACTTTGCAAAACACCAAAACCTTAATAAATGGCTTAAAAGTGCGATAAAAACTGGCTTAAGACTGGCCCAGGCATAATATTACTGATCTAAAGGTGTGTTTCTTTAAAGTAGCAGCAACATCAAAAATGACATCTCAAAAGAAGTGGGTTTAAATGGAGATATGAGAACAGGAAAGGGAGAACTGAAAATGTCCAAGAGTAGGGAGGAGAACAATAGAAAAGAGCTGCGGTTTAGGGTTCTCATCTTGGAATTTCCTTTGGTCTTGGGGCTTCTATCCTTCCTGGATTCTGGGTCATGGGCCTCCAGCTTCCCGCCTAATTTAGTCTGGAGATATCTGTCTCTCTTGGGCCTTCTGTCTGTATAGACAGGCTTGAGTTCTGGGTCTTTATGTGTGCTTGGGCCCTTCCATTTTTGGGTCATAGGTCTTCAAGCGAAGGCTTTTCATCCCATCCTGGGTCTTTGGCCTTCTGTCTCACCGAGACTTGAGTCTTCCGTCCAACTCCAGTCTAGACCTTTGGGCCTTTTATTGGTCTTGGATCATCTCACAGGCGGCCTGGCATAAGGAACAGCTCTTCAATGCTTATATTTTGATAGCTGACACTCTGCACCTATTAGGAAGGGGTTAGGAGACCCCTTTGTTACAAACACACACACACACAAAAGCATGCACACACACATGCACAAAAAATATGCAAGGAGAGAGGACTGCATGAAATCAAAGTGGGGGAGACACAGACTCAAGAAGAGACTGAAATACTCAAAGGTAAGTAGAAAGGCAAAAGCAGAGAAGAAATAAGAGAACACAGAGGTGAATGCTGACATGGAAAATCACAAAGAACAAAGAGACACTGGGGCACACAAAGCAGGAAAAAAAGAGAAAATGGCCCAAGAGAGGCAGAAAGAATATGTAGAAAAGAGCAATGCAAGATAAAGAGTAGAAACAGCAGAAGGGTGGCCAGTATCAGAAAAGGTGAAATGTCAAACCATCAAGGGGAGGGGGTGACAAACAGTTCACAAAGAGAAAAAGAAGAGAGGTAGGCATAGCAAGAAATGAGCAAAAGGCACACAGCATGTGACTCAAGAGACACAAAGAGACGAGCAGTGAAAGAAGAGCCAGATCTAGGAGAGCAAGGAGAATCAGTAACAAAATGAAAAAACTAGAGAGAGACATCTAAGACAAGACACAGACCACTCTTCGGTACAAGAAAGAAAATGAGACAAAGATATACAGAGAAGAAACTAGTAAGAGAATCATGGAAATGGGTAAGACACACTTTAGTTAGAGGAGAAAGACCAAAGACATTCAAGGAAGAAATAGATAAGCAAACAAAGACACACTTATGAGTTTAAAAGATAAGCAAAGGCAGACATTCAGTGGAAGAGGATAAGAAATAGAAGAGACAAAATACAGTGAGGAGCATGGTAGGCACAAGAAGCATCACAAAGAGAAGACAACAAAAGAAAACAAAAAAGTGCATTAATAATTGCAATAATCTATTATAAGTGCCAATACTATTTATATTACCACTAACAATAATAATTATAAGAACAGTATAAGAACAACAACAATCACCAACAACACAGATACTCTTCTACTTAAACTTTTAACTTAGGAATTTCTTACATAGGACCAAACCACACCAACTCTGTGCCACTAGATGGTATTAGTGGTCACTTGTATTGTGTCAAATGAACTTATGAAACTTCTTAGGTTACCTTTTACCTTTAACCTACCATGTGCTAGGCACTGTACTAAGCTCTTTATATAGATGATTTCATTTAACCTTCACAAGCAGACAAGTCTAATCAGAATCTAAATTGCCAAAGGCTGTTCACCTAATGAGTGGCAGAGGATTTAAACACAGTATGTGCCTCTTAACATTCTGTTACAACTGTTTCCTAGAATTTCCAGGAGAGCCAAACGAGGTGCCACAGGTGAGTGAATATTATAATAAAGGGCCCTTAGAGAGCACCTAGTTAACCCTCTCATTTTATATCTTCCCCTTTCCCCATCCCTTATAAAACTGACTTGATTTTCACACCCTTCACAATTATAATGGCAGCTTCAGGGACTGGGTTTTCCTTAACACTAAACCTTAACTGCAGATTCTCTCACAAAAAGAGGTGAGAAAGGCCCACCCTTTTAGCAAAAAACAAAAACTTTTTTGGTTTAAGTTTCTATATGTTTAGGCCTCTAAGGGTGGCAAAAGATTTATGCAGTGAAGATAAAGAACAGACAAGGTAAAACTAAATTACCCTGTGACACAACTGGTAGACAGACTATATCATCTTTGAGTTGCTTCAGGGAAACCAATTAGTAAGTAGATTACTGGTCATCCTCCCATCTCACATTCAGCTCCCCTTGCACATTAGATCACCATACCCCATCCCATACAAACCTCCAACAAACAGCTATTAGCTCTAAAATGATCCTCACAGGATTACGCCACCACCAACTTACTTCATTCTGCTATTCTAAAATTCTAGAGTGCCAGGCATGTTGATCTTCCTTTGGTGTGTTCAAATGTCTTGCTCTTTGCACTGCTTCTGGGAAAGATAATGATTGGACAGATATGAAGGGAACAATCAGGAGCTACAAAAAACGAGAAGGAAACCATGTAAATGCCATAAAGAAGTATTAACTGAGTACTGTGCTAGAGTTATGGGAAGATTCAAATTAATGAGCTATAGAAAGTATCTCTACGGAGCTTAGAAAAGTATAAAGTTGAAGCTTTTATGTCTTTAGAGATAAAACTAACACAACTGCCTCATTCAACAGAATAGGAAACTATGGCATAAATAGGAAAATGTCTTGCCTAATAACACTTGGTGAGCCACTGGAAACACCATCAATCACAGCCTTATTCCTTTAGTTGGATAGTAATCTGTACAAAGCCTGTACAATCAGGACTTACTACACTGAACAGTTACCTCTATCTCCCAACCTACATCCCCCTAACCACCCTCTCTCATCACTGACCTAGAATACGCAGGGTGCTAGTTCTTTAGATCCAGCCTGACGATAGATAACTTTGTGCCACTTCTAGTCACATTCCCACTCATAGTTGTGAAGTTTCTGTCAATTAGCAGGCACAGCATAAAAAGACACAGCTCTGTTTTATCTTCTCAAACAGCTTGTTTTTTGTTTTGTCCAACAGCTATCCCAAGGCATCTTGAAGTACGTAAATGATTGGCAAAGTTCTCCAACAGGGCCTCAAGGGAGACTTTGGAGACCAGAGGGTCCAGAATGATGATCTGCCCATGATCAATGTCACAGATGTGGCAGTTGTTGTCCATGTTCTCCTAAAAGAAAAAAAATTTAGCTGAAAGGCTCTACCACATGCTACAGTCCCACCCTAAACACCCTAACTCATACAGCCTGCTATTCTCTTCACATCATCATTTTCACCCATGTCACACCCAGTTGCTTCCCAGGTTAATTAGAAGCAGTTTTTACCAAAGCAGACATAGTTGACAATGACGAAAATAATCTAAATGGAAAGCTAAGTGCAATGAATACTGAAAAACAAGAAATTAAAGACTATTTATTATGCTTTTAGGGACAGCTCACCCACCTCTGGATGTGTGGTGGTTGTCTTGAGATTTCATCCTCCTAACTGGGCCCAGGAAAGAATCTTGGTAGAACCTCCTGGCCTAGGGTTGTTGCTCAGTGATAGTGAGTTTTTCCCTTGGAGGATCCTCATGCCCCATCTCCACCTAGGGATCGTCAAAGGGAATGGGTCATTAACACTGTAAAGCAACAAGCCTATTCTTCTGAGGAAGATCTGGAGAAGAGATAAAAGAAAAATAAATTACTTAAATGCAGTACACTGGGAAAGTCTGTCCCAATGAGTAACTAGGGGTTAAATTAAACTATGTCTACCATTTTCTTCAGATGGATTGAGGACTGGAGATTTAGAACTATGTAGAACTCTATTTTCTAGCTACCAGTCTAACAACATGCAAATTCTTCTACTCATTCAAGCTCCATTCCTTGTACTCCCCCTCATCTCCAAGAGCAATTTAGAGCTGAATAATTACCAAAATTCCCGTATTGTGTTTTAGTCGCCAGTCTCCACTGATGAACAGTCCTCTAGAGAGTGTGGATTTTTAATGTCCTGGTATTCTCATAAAATACAATGGAGGTCAAGAAATTAAGGGGCTGAAAATAATAAAAGGAGAAGCTAAAGCTTTCTCAACCAAGAGAGCCATCAAGACACTTTAGAAAAGCTCCAATGTGGTCTGACTGTATGAGTTCTGTAAGAATTCTTCTTCACATTGCCTCAGGCTTCTTTTATAAAGTACTATCTATCTTAAGAACTGAGCAATCTATCTCAACCAAAGTGCCTCTCTCTCACCTAGTTTTGTAGCATCCCCCTCTTTTAATTTGTGTATTAAGTAGTAAGATGCTGGAACATTGCCAAGGTAAACAGAACTGTTTTCTACTCAGTCTACATGGTACATTTCTTGAACAGCTTATAAAAATGAGGCACCACCAAAGTGCCAGGATATTCAGAAAAATCAAGAATGGCTACAGGTGTACAAAACCCCAGTTATTACAACAACTAAGCAAATCTATGCAAAAGGAAAAACAAGGTACAGAAGGCTAGGGGTCCAATAAGTAGCTTACACAGGCCCTTGGGTCTCTGTTATTCTACCCTTATGCCCAAAAAGAAAAAAAATAAAAAACTGTGTAGAAATTGATGAAAACTGGTCCATGTTCTGTTTTAAAAAGGAGAAGTGCAGGAAGTTAAAGCCCTTAAACCCAAAGACAGAATTCACACAATAAAAAGCTCCTTACACTACCTTTTTCTCCAGGGAGCCGGCAAGCCATCCTCTTAGATTGTTTGGAGCTTATCCAGATTCTCAAAAGGAAAGACCTGTTGAATGTAGAGCTTCTTAAAGCTGCTTGCAGTTCCTCAGGTCTCACATGCTCAGAATGTCCTTGAGAAGAAAGACAGGGCTCAGTAAGATACAAAACTGCTGAGGAAACCTCAACAACAATCAAAAAAAACAAAACAAAAAAAAGCCATTAAGAAGCATTAACCTGAAGCATTAGATACAGGTGTCTCCTGTCTCTCCTCTCTAGCCTGTTGTCTCCTTAAGGTCCTGTAATGGCAAGCACTGGCAGTATCACAGAAGAACTAGGCAAGTATAGAAAAAGAACTAAATGAAAATATGGGTCAAACCAATAGCCACCTTAAGGGCTGACTAAATTTGTGGCCTAAAGATGCTGAAAATACTTCAAGATACAAGGTAGCAGAGCAATTTCTACTACTGCCTGGAAGTACAATTGCCTCGACCATTTTTAATAATTGGCTACCTGCCCTTACTATAGCATAGGAGCTCACTGAAACAGGTCTAAGTCAGGTTTGCAATCTTGAAAGTACTTTTTATGTTATGGTATGGTGTGGAAAGCACAAGGTATGGCTTCCAGATCCCTGATCAAGAATTACCATATTATAAGGACATTTGTGTCAATATCAAACAAATCCTAGTCTGTGAAAGATCACTTATTCAACTCTCTTCTCTAGATAAGATGTCCAATAAAGCTAAACTGGTATTCTATGATGTTCCCAATATGAGAACAAGCTTCAAAGTCTTTTGGTAACATCCTTCCCCATCCTTACTTAACCTAAGATTAGATACTTCATTGCTTCTAGTTAAACATGGCAGTTCATACATATTTATACATATCTACTCAAGCTCCTTCTTGAAACTCCATTAATGATAGTTGAGTGGACAATCCATATGCAATCAAATTTACCCAGAGAATCTTAAAATTAATGAATCCAAGCTCAAATTCATTTATGCAATGCTTAGTTAAGGTACCTAAAAGGAAACAACTGCTCAGTCTCTCCAGGTCTTCTGAGCCACTCTGAAACATATTTACTGAGTATGGCTACTTTAGCATCAAAGCCCTCTAGTTTTGTTAAATTTAGCATGTCAGCTAAGTTTCATACAAACACTTGAGATCCAACTTGAGTTAGATTTTGAAAGACACCAGTGTTAAGTGCTAATTGTCTGTAGCCAAAAATATGGTAGCGGGAAAATAGTTTTCTTCCAAATGAGTCCTTAAGACTTGAGACAGAAGAAGGCATTAACTCTGTTTAACCATACACAACTATACTCTTTGCCATCAGAGCTTATAAGGTTTGGTGGAACAGTTAGTTAAGTTCAGATATCAGTTTCCTTCACTTTAAGCTGCTAAAAAAAGTTTTCCCAGGACGCTTTCACATATAATATTTTAGCAGCCACCACAGATCAACTTTTAATTCTTTACTTCAAGTCACAAACTCCCATCCAGGTGTACATTTGATGATCAGGGCCCAGCTACCCTGAAAAGAAATTATATCATAGCAGCCCTGGGTCTTAAGATCTTCTATAATTTAGGGAGGTGGTTAGAGAAATGTATAGATAAGCTACAGAAAGATAGTAGAAAAGCTCAAGGGGGTTATAGGAAAAGACACACAAAACCAGGGTCAGAAAACTCTCTCCAATCCTATATATTAAGGTTCTATAAGGAGGAAAATCAGAAATCACAATAACCATTTAGAGAAATGCCAAAAAATTTTAAGTGCTTCCTTTCTTGATCCTTTGAAAATGATAAAATGTAATTTTCAGGGGTTGAGGTATTTAATTCAAGTCCCTGTCTTAATTCATCAGCAGTCCTTGACACTGAAGTTGAGATGGATGGTGATTTGATCCAAAGTCAGAGCCAGGACCAAAAGCTGTGTTCTTATTCCCGGTTCAGAACTTTTTCATAATTTTGCCAGCATCTCACTCCTTCTACCCCCAAACCCATGAAAAAGAATAGTGATTCACTCCATCCAAGAAAACTAGTGCTTCATTAAAATGCATTTGTAAAAAGCAAGGAATACTAGAGTAGTGCCTGTAAGCCCTCAGCTTACACAGCTCCTGACCCAACTGAGCAAGGTGCTCCCTAGGCACACCTTGCATTTTCCCCTTGCTATCACTTTGCTTAGTAAGAGTGTTTTTCCCCTACTCTTCTTCCTCTATGCCCAACAGAATTTCCCCAACTTTTTATGGTACTCATCAAATTGCCCAACACCATAATGATTTGTTCATTTCTGCATCCTCCATGAGATAGCAAATTCCTGGACAGGAACTATGTCTTTGGTTTTACTATTTATTCCAGTGCCTGGTCCAATAAATATTTGTTGCATAAGGATTATCGCAAGTTTGAAGATGCCCACATTCCCAGAGCATCCCTTTCTACAACTGCTAGAGATTTTATTTCAAGCAATGAACTGAAATACAACTCCAAGATTAACCTTTGGATGCTGTCTAGGGCAGGCTTCAATCCACCTAAAATCGATCCATCCTTCCTCTTGAGTGGGGGTACCAGCTCAGAATTCATCCCTTTAAAACAAATTCCAATAAATATAGTTGTATATTAATATTGAATGATAATTTGATTAGCAGCAATAACAGATATCATAAGCATAGACCAGTGTTTCTCAAATTGGGGTGATAAGATCCCTGGGGGTTTATGGATATATTCTCATGGATCCCCAAGTTCTACATAAATTATTTTAAAAATTATATATCTTGACAAAGATATCTTGAAATTGGAAAACATGTTTATATTGCAAATAACTTTAAATCAGTGTTCCTCAAAACACATATTCTTTAGGATCTCAAAAAAAATTTGTTTCTTTAAAAGGTGTTGAATCCTGACAAGTTACTTCAGTTTGAGAAACAATGGCATAGACCATGTTTCCAAGAAGGCTCAGGACCATCCATATATTATCTCCAATCGGTCAGACAAATAATGTCTTTAGGCATTGGCAGGGGGGAAAACAAGCTGTTAGGAAATACGGATATGAATTAAAATGGGCAGTAAGAAAAGCCCAACTCATTAGTATGATTCTTCTTGCTCCTGCTGGGATACATGTATATGCACAGAAAAGTGCTTCAAATTTGATATTAATATTTTTCAGCTGAATCTTTGTGTTTGTTTAACATCAAAGAGGCTAAGTTTTTTCGCTTACCAAAGTATCTGTTGAAAAAGGTGAGGGGAAAGAACATATCAACTTCATCATAAAGTAGGTGAGGTCATGGTTTTCTTATAAAACATACTTCTCCATTGCCCTCTTGCCAAACAGGTTCCACAAATATCTCAAACTAAAAAGACACTGCTACTCTCATCTGTTCTTGGGCAGAGATCTAACATATCAGATTTATACCCCCAATCCCTAGAGCTTGAAAAGCATAAGCTTCAAACAATTAACAATCAACAATTTGTCAGCCTTGGCATATAGCCAAACACACTGGCTAGGCCTTATCTCTCATCACTTTCCATGCCTCCAAAAGAGGTAAAAACCAAATGACATTAAAATAAACCAATTGTACTACCCAGATGGCTGCAATATTAATCACGTCCCAGACCAAAGACAAAAAGTTAACCCACCTCTTTTAAGTTTATCCTATTAACTTCAAACCCTAGTGTGCTCCCTTTTTAAAGCTCTATAACTTATAATTCACACAAGACAGCACTTGATTATCATATCCTAGAGTTATTTCAAGTGTGCTTATATTAGCTCCTTTAACAAGACAACCATCTTGGGGATGAGATTATATAGGACTGTATCATTTCTACCCCTCACTTCAGTGTAACCGAGCATAGGGCCAGATACACGATACTAACTCTGTTATTTTGTTTGTTAACTCATATGGTGATATATAAATTGCAGATGAGGTAGAAACATGGAAGAAGACTTATAGGACCCTCTGACTTTTCTATGGGTAGCATCTAAAAGAAAGAAAACAGAACAGGGAAAAGATTACTTAATAACTGCAAAGTAGTACTTACAGTATTCTAAAGAGCCAGAGACTTCTTACAGCTGTCCAAGAAGCTAGTAGTGCAAACAGCACCCTGAGCTGGGCGAATCTTTTGACATCCTTCTCAGAGAAGAGTATCCTTTCTCAGCGATTACAAAGAACTGCTGTAGTGATAACTAGTTATTTGCTCCAGCAGTTCCATATTAAATACTTCTCTGCCACCAAACACCCTGTACACTAGAGCTGGAATATTATTCATTTTTACCAGGCAGCTACCTCACTGTTGAAATTTATATCCAAAAGAATGATTAGACCTTGGCTTATTTTTCTTTTCATATAAAATGGGGAAACTGGTTCCATCATTTCTAAGTCCTCACTTCAGTGTTGTGCTTTAGGCTACTTTAAATTAGCAGAATTAAACAGGGGGCATTTTATGTAATAGATTAATCAAATAAATTGATCTATGGTTTTCAAAAGCACCTCAGCATATGTTCTCTCATTTTTATCCTTTTACGCAATCTTCTTGAAATAAGTAGGGGCTGGTTGGAGCTCCAGATGAAAAAATTTAAGGATTAGGAGGTTTAGGTAGTTTTTCTAAAAGTGAAAATTGTTAAAGCCCAAACAAGGAATGGTTTGAAAATGGTGGTAGAGCCCAAAGATACTGGTCTTAAGAGTTCCACTCTAGAACTCCTTTGATCATACTAAAATATCAAAGTCACAGTGGTCTATCCACAGACCCACCACCCTTAGTAAAATGAGAGACACTGGTCATCAGGTACATGGTATAAATAGGTTTTTAGACTTCAAAATTTCAATGACCAGGTTATCAATTCTACCTTGCAATCTTCCTTACAACATAAAAAATTAACAGCAACTTTTTGGTTGTATCTTGGCAGTTGACACTATACAATGGCAATATACAAGAAGAGAGGAGAGAGTCTTAGCCAGGCAATCTGCTTTGAAAGGAAGAATGCACAGATAGTGCTAAACTTCCTTCCTGGGGAGACAATTTTCAATTGATACTTATGTATAATGAAAACCCAAAATAAAGGGTAGCAATCCAGTTCCCTTGGGTCTGACTTGCCTTGGGCATTTTAACTAGTAAAGCAGTAAGAGGGGGGCAGGAATGGTTCCTGTCCCCAGAATGTAAAAATAATTGGAACTGGGATCATTGACAAATGCAGGAAAAGGAGTGAAGGCCCAGCCACCTAGTTCAGGCCTGCTTTTGGTAGTCAATACTGCACAAACACAACATCAAAGTGGTAGGGAGATCTTGGGCTGATGGGCTAAAAAACTGGACAATTAATACTGTGTTAATAACACCAAAGGGGTTGTGGGAGGTCAGCACTACTCAGAAGTAATGCAAAGAAGGAAGTGGAAGGGTCCATGTCTAACGGGCCGGACCAAAGAAAGTGCAACCAAGGTATTACAGAAATTCAAAATGGGCAAAACAATGACATCTGAGATTGTTAACGTTTTAAGTCCAAGAGAAAAGCATTTTGCTCAGTCAACATTCCCCATCAACTATGCAAAAGGGGCAGGGCAGGAGCAGGAGGGGCAAGAGAGCACAATCTTATCTGGATACATGGACACCTGAAATTGTGAGCATTAATATTCCGTAAGAAGGGTCCAAGGGCAGGCAAGTGGTCTGGAGAGGGAAGATAATGGCAAGACTATGACTACTTGGAGTTTGATACACTGGAGCCAGTGCAAAAGAAGTGGGAGTATCGGTCGTTGTTTGATGGACAAGTTCACAGCATACTGCAGTGTTTATACTTTATTATGCCATGGGAAGTTGGAGCTGGGAATGCTTGCCTAACAAAGCCAGGGAGGAAAAACCCATTGCTAAATGCCATTGTGCTCATCAGCAGTCCCAGTAGAAGTTTTGTGTCATTAGCAGCCCCTGCAGTAATGCAAAGGGGGTGCAAAGGGATGCTATCCGACTCTAGAAAGAAGGGAGAATAGATAATTGCAAATATTCACATTATCAGTCCAAAAAAGGGGCCTTAGTCAGTACCCCTGATGTATACAGTGAGGGTACAGGGATCCTATCTAATGATCGTACTTTTGATATGTTATTGGTGCATATTAATTGTCCAAGAGCTGAGGTCATGATAGTTAGCTGAGGGGATATGACATTAGTCTACTGATAAAGACAACAATTTCGATTATGTATATTAACGGTCCACTAGAAGGGACCTTGGGGGAAAACAGTATCCCCTGCAGTATTACAAAGGAGATAAAATAGTCCTAGAAGTAACAGGGTTGTGAAAAACTGCAATTCTGCACATTAACTGTCCAAATAGAAAGGTCTTGGTGGTGGGCACAACCTACTGGAAGGCATAGGAAATGTGGGGGAGGAGGGGATCCTTGTCTATTGCCCAAGAACCAAATGCAAATATGCACATTAACAGGCCAAGGAATGGGGATTTAGGGGTCAGCAACCCTGATATACTGCAAATGGAGGGCAACAGGATAAGATGAACTAAGTTGCAGTTATGTACATTAATGTCGAAGGGACATGGTGTGGTCAATTAAAATCGTATACCTTGTACAAATATAAGGATCTTAAAGTAGCGGGCACTCCCTGCTAAAAGACAAAGGGAGTGGGGAGATAGGTGCCCCCATCAACTGTACAGGAACATGCACAAATGCAATTATGCACAATAACAAGCCATAAAAAGAGGCCTTAGTGATCATTACCCCTGCTGTACTACAAAAGGGGTCTGAGAGGATAGGATCTTATCCATATGGGATGAGCCATGTGCAGTTATGCACATTAATGTCCAAGGTGACTGGTTGTGGTCAGTTACAACTGTGCACCTTGACTGTCCAAATTTAACAGTCCTGTGGAGGGGGCACTTCCTGCTGGAAGGACAGGGAATAGAGAGGTGTCCTTGTCTAGTGCACAGGAACCCAGACAAATACAGTAACAGGACAAGAAATGGGACTTAGGGGTCAAAATCTTTGTGGTACTTCTAAGGGGTTTGAAGGGGAAGGATCCTAATGTAATTGTCATTACACGTATTTGAGAAAGGGGCCTTAAGTGAACAGTACCCCATGCAGTAAAGCAAAGAGAGTGTGAAAAGAGTCAGGGACACAAGTTAACTCAAAGGACCATGGACAATTTTAATTACACATAGTCACAGTCCCAAAACAAGGGCTTTAAAGTAGTAAGTAACCTGTGTTTCAATAAGTGGAGTCCTGATCTAAAAAGCACAGTTGTGGACAACTGAGAATGTATACAAGACAACTAAGATTGTGCACATTAACTGCAGTAGTGTGTAAGATCTTGAGTAGTAGGCACCTCCTGTTGGAATATAAATAGAATGGAGAGGGTCCTTACCTGGTGTACAGGTACAGGAGCAAATGTAAGTATACACATTAACAGTCCAAGAAAAAGAATCTTGGCTAGTCAGAAGCCCCCGCAGTAACGTAAATGGGGCAAGGAAATGGGATCCTAATCTAACAGAAGGGAGCATGGGTTACTGAAATTATGCACATTTATACTCTAGAGGAAAAGCAGCCACAGTTGATCAGGACTCCTGATGCAAAGGAGGTGAAATGTGATGGAATCCTAGTGTAATTTTGCACATTAACTGTCCAAAAGAGAAACTAGTCAGTAGTCCCTCCTATAATACTAAGAACTCAAGATATTAGCTTGTCATGAGGGCACATGCACAATGAGTCCCAAGAGAAGGACTCTGAGTCACTAACATCCCCTGATATAATACAGAAAGGGAGGGATATTAATTTAAAGAGAGGGGCCTTGAACACTGGAATTTTGCATGTAAATACTCCCAGAAAAAGTAACGGAGGTAATTAATACATCTTCTTATAAAACAAAGAGAGTACAAGGGACTTAAGTGAAAGATATATTTGTGGTCAATTACCATGGGTCACTTTATTCTAGTACAAAAGTCTTGAGTAAAGGGCATCCACCACTGAATACAAGGGAAATTAGTGAGGTCTTTATATACTGCAGAGGAAGAAGGACAAATGCAATTGTGCATTAACAGTGAAAAGAAGGGGCCTTGGTGTTCAGGACCCTATGCTGTAATGCTGACAGGGTGTGAGAGGATGGGATGCACCACAACAGTCCCAAGTACCCTCTGTGGTAATGCAAAGAGAGTAGAAAGGGACTGGAAACTAGACTGACAGAAAGGACCATAGTTGCAGTTAAGCATCTTAAGAGTCCCAAAAACGCTCCCATGTAATGCAAAGGGAGTAGGAGGTAACGGGATTCTAGACCAACAGAAGGGAACACAGGTGCAATTACCATCATGACAGTCCCAAATGCCCTCCCAGGTAATGTAAAGGGAGTCATGGGATCCAAAACTAACAAAAGGGACCACATCTGCATTTAAACACATTCACAGATCCAAGTACCTTCTGTGGTAATGCAAACAAAGCTGGAGGGGATGGACCCCAGACTAAGAGAAGGGACCACAGCTGCAATTAAACACTTTAATAGTCCCAAGTGCCCTCTGCTGTAATGCAAAGGGAGTAAGAGGGCATGGGAAGTGAGACTAACAGAAGGGACCACAGATGCAATTAAGCACTTCAACAGTCCCAAATACACTCCTGGGTAATGTTAAGGGAGTTAGAGGGCATGGAATCCTAGATTAACAAAACAGATTACAGCTGCATTTAAGCACCTTTCTGTCCCAATACCAACAAGTAATACAAATGAGTAGAAAGGGATGAGATCCTAGAATTACAAAGGGACCACAGCCAAAAAACGAGCACAGTGACAGTCCGAAATATGTTCCCAAGTTACGTGAGGGAATTGGAGTGCTTGAGAAAGTACACTTAACAGATGGGACTACAGCTGCCACTAACCACTTTAAAGGTCTCAAATACCTCTGCAGTCATGCAAAAGGAGATAGGTGGGAATGGGATCCTAGGTTAACATAAGGGATTGTACCTGCATTTAATAAGCACATTAACAGTCCCTTGTAGCCTCTGTGGAAAGGCAAATCAAGTAGGAGGGGATGGGATCCCAGACTAACGAAGGGACAGGAGTCCAATTAAAATAGTCCCAAGTGCCCTCTGCAGAAATGCAAAGGGAGTTAGGTGGGAATGGGATCCTAGGTTAAAAAAAAAGGACTGTACCTGCATTCAAGCACAGTAACAGTCCATTGTACACTGTGGTAATGCAAATCAAGGAGGGAAAGGGAATCTAGACCAACAGAAGGGACAGCAGCTTCAATGAAGCCCATTAAGAGTCCCAAGTACCCTTTGCAGTGATGTAAAGGGAGTTAGGTGGGAATATAGTTCAAAGTTAACATAAGGGACTGTACCTGCATTTAAGCACATTGAAAGTCCCTTGTAGCCTCTGGGATGATGCAAAGGGAGTTACGTGGGAATGGGATCCCACCTTACAAAGGGACTGTAACTGCATTTAAGCACATTAACAGTCCTTTGTACCCTCTTTTATAATGCAAATTGAGTAGGAGGGCATGGGAATCTAGACGGACAGATGAGACTGTATAGGCAGGTAAACGCATTAACAGTCCCAAGTACGCTCTGCAGTCATGCAAAGGGAGTTAGGTGGGAATGGGATCATAGGTAACATAAGGGACTGTAGTGCCATTTAAGCACATTAAAAATCCCTTGTACACTCTGTGGTAATATAAATCAAGTAGGAGGAAATGGGATTCTAGACTAAGAGGGAAACTGTAGCTGCATTAAAGCTTGTTAACAGTCCCAATTACCATCTGCAGTCATGAAAAGGGAGTTAGGTGGGATTTCGGGGTTAACTCAAGGCACTGTACCTGCATTTAAACACATTAGCAGTCCCTGGTAGCCTCTTTGGTAATGCAAATGGAGGCAGGTGGAAATGGGATCCTTGAACTCTACCTGCATTTAAGCACCATAACAGTCCCTTGTACCCTCCGTGGTAATGTAAATCCTGTAGGAGGGGATGGGATCCTAGACTAAGGGACTGTGGCTTCAGTAAAGCCCATTAATAGTCCCAAATACCCTCTGCAGTCATGCAAAGGGAGTTAGGTGGGAACAAGATCCTAGGTTAACGTAAGGGACTGTAGCTGCATTTAAGCACTTCAACAGTACTTTGTAGCCTCTGTGGTAGTGCAAAAGGAGTTAGGTGGAAATGGGATCCTGGTTATCAAAAGGGACTGTAGATCCATTTAAGTACATTAACCATCCCTTCTACCCTCCTCTGGTAATGCAAATCAAGAAGGAAGGGAACGGATCCTAGACTAACAGAAAGGACTGTAGCTGCGATCAATCACATTTAAAGTCCCAAGTATTCTCTGCAGTCATACAAAGTGAGTTAGTTGGGGGTGGGATCCAAGATTACCGTAAGGGACTATAATTGCATTTAAGCATGTTAACAGTCCCTTGTACAGTCAGTGGTAATGCAAAGGGGATTAGCTGGGAATGGGATCCTAGGTGAAACAATAAAGGGGACTATACCTGCATTTAAGCACATTAACAGTCCCTTGTATCCTCTGTGGTAATGTAAATCTGTAGGAGGGGATGGGAATCTAGACTAAGAGAAGGGACTGTAGCTGTGATTAAGCCCATTAACAGTCCCAAGTACCCTCTGCAGTCATGAAAAGGGAGTTAGGTAGGAATGGGTTCCTAGGTAAAAAAAAAAAAAAAAGGGACTGTAGCTGCATTTAAGCACATTAACAGTCCATTATACCCCCTTTGGTAATGCAAATCGAGGACAGCCTGGGAATCTAGACTAATAGAAGGGAGGGCAGTGCAATTAAGCCCATTAACAAGTCCCATGTAGGCTCTGCATTAATGAAAAGGGAGTTAGGTGGGAATGGGATCCTAGGTTAACATAAGGGACTGTAGTTGCATTTAAGCACATTAATAGTTATACAGTTTGTGGTAATGCAAACTGTGTAAGAGAGGATGGGAATGTACACTAACAGAAGGGAATGCAGCTACAGTAAGCTCGGTAACAGTCCCAAGTACCCTCTGCAGTCAGGAAAGGGAGTTAGGTGGAAATGGAATCTTAGGTTACAAAAGGGACTGTAGCTCCATTTAAGCACATAAACAATCCATTGTACTCCCTTTGGTAATGCAGATTGAGTAGGAGGGCATGGGAATCTGGACTAACAGAAGGGGCTGTAGCTCTAATTGAGCCCATTAACAGTCCCAAGTACCCTCTGCAGTTGTGAAAAGAGAGTTAGGTGGGGATGAAATCCTAGGTTAACATAAGGAGCTGTAGCTGTTTTTAAGCCCATTAACAGTCCCTTGTAGATCCTGTGGTAACGCAAATCATGTAGGAGTGGATGGGCAACTAGGGTAACAGAAGGGACTGTAGCTGCAATAAAGCCCAATAACAATCCCAAGTACCCTCTGCAGTCATGAAAAGAGAGTGAGGTGGGAATGGAATCCTAGGTTTAAAGGAGGGCGGGGAGAGATTTCACTTGCATTTAAAAGCACATTAACAGTCCTTTGTGTCCTCTGGTAATCTAAAGGGAATTAGGAGGTAATTAGCTCTAATGGGATACTAGGCTAAGATAAGGGACAGCAGTACAATTAAGCCCATTAGCAAGTTCTATGTAGGCTCTGCAGTAATGAAGAGGGAGATAGTTGGGGATGGGATCCTAGGTTAATATAAGTGACTGTAGCTGCTTTTAAGCACAGTAACAGTCCCTTGTACCCTCTGTGGTAATGCAAAGGGAGTTAGGTGAGAATAGGATCCTACCTAAAAAAAGCAAATGTTTCTACATTTAAGCATATTAACAGTCCCTTGTATCCTCTTTGGTAACCTAAAAGGAATTAGGTAGGGATGGGATCCTAGACTAACGGAAGGGACAGTAGTGCAACTAAGGCCATTAACAAGTCCTATGTAGGCTCTGCAGTAATGGAAGGGAGATAATTAGGGATGGGATCCTAGGTTAAGACAGGGGACTGTAGCTGCATTTAAGCCCATTAAAAGTCCCAAGTACTTTCTGCAGTCATTAAAAGGGAGTTAGGTGGGAATGGGATCATAGGTAAACATAAGAGACTGTAGCTGCTTTTAAGCACAGTAACAGTCTCTCGTGTACTCTGGGGTAATGCAAACTGAGTACAGGGATGGGATTCTAGACGAACAGAAGGGACAGCAGTGTAATAAAGCCCATTAACAAATCCATGTAGGCTCTGCAGTAATGAAAAGGGAGTTAGGTGGCAATGGGATCCTAGAGTAACATAAAGGACTGTAGCTCTATTTAAGCACATTAGCAGTCCCTGTACTCTGTGTTAATGCAAATGGAGTAGGATGGAACAGATTCTAGATAACAGAAGGGACTGTACCTGCAACAAAGCCCATTAACAGTCCCAAGTACTCTCTGCAATCACGAAAAGGGAGTTAGGTGGGGAGGGGATCCTAGGTAATTGCATTTAAGCACATTAACATTTCCTTGTATCCCCTTTGGTAATGCAAATGGAGTAGGAGGGCATGGGAATCTCGAATAACAGAAGGGATTATGGCTCTAATTGAGCCCATTAACTCCCCCAAGCACCCTCTGCAGTCATTCAAAGAGCTTTAAATGGGAATGGGATCATCGGTAAACGTGAGAGACTGTAGATGCATTTAAGGATATTAGTCTCTACACTCTAGGGTAATGCAAATCAAGTAAGAGGAATGGGCTCCTAGACTAATAGGAGGGACAGCAGTGCAATTAAGCCCATTAACAAGTCCCATATAGGCTCTGCATTAATGAAAAGGAAGTTAGGTGGGAATGGGATCCTAGGTTAACATAAGGGACTATAGCTCCATTTAAGCACATTAACAGTCCCAGTTACCCTATGTGGTAATGCAAATCCAGTAAGAAGGAAACTGATTCTAGATTTACAGAAGGGACTGTAGCTGCAGTAAAGCCCATTAACAGTCCCAAGTACCCTCTGCAGTCATTAAAAGGGAGTCAGGCGGGAATAGGGTCCTAGATAAACATAAGGAACTGTAGCTGCTTTTAAGCACAGTAACAGTCCATTGTACCCTCTGTGGTAGTGCAAGGGAGTTAGGTGGGAATGGGGTCATAGGTAAACGTAAGAGACTGTAGATGCATTTAAGCACAGTAACAGTCTCTTGTACACTCTGGGATAATGCAAATTGAGTAGGTGGGATGGACTCCTAGATTAACAGAAGGGACAGCAGTGCCATTAAGCCCATTAACAAGTCCATGTAGGCTCTGCAGTAATGAAAAGGGAGTTAGGTGGCAATGGCATCCTAGATTAACATAAAGGACTGTAGCTCTAAGCACATTAGCAGTCCTTTGTGCCTTCTGTGTTAATGTAAATCATGTAGGAGTGAATGGGAATCTAGACTAACAGAAGGGACTGTAGCTGCAGTAAAACCCATTAACAGTCCCAAGTACCCTCTGCAGTCATGAAAAGAGAGTGAGGTGGGAATGGAATCCTAGGTTAAAAAACAGGGGGAGGGAGCTTGTACATGCATTTAAAAGCACATTAACAGTCCCTTGTGTCCTCTTTGGTGATCTAAAGGGAATTAGGAGGGGATGGGATCCTAGGCTAAGATAAGGGACAGTAGTACAATTAAGCCCATTAGCAAGTTCTATGTAGGCTCTGCAGTAATGAAAAGGGAGATAGTTGGGGATGGGATCCTAGGTTAACATAAGGGACTGCAGCTGCATTTAAGGACATTAACAGTCCCTGTACCCTCTGTGGTAATGCAAATCCAAGAAGAAGGAAACATTCTAGATTAACAGAAGGGACTGTATCTGCAATAAAGCCCATTAACAGTCCATTGTCCCCCTTTTGGTAATACAAATAGAGTAGGAGGGCATGGGACTCTGCTAACAGAAGGGACTGTAGCTCTAATTGAGCCTATTAACAGTCCCAAGTACCCTCTGCAGTCATGCAAAGAGATTTAGACAGGAATGGGATCATAGGTAAACATAAGAGACTATAGATGCATTTAAGCACAGTAACAGCCTCTCATACATTCTGGGGTAACACAAATTGAGTAGGAGGGATGGGATTCTAGACTAACAGAAGGGACGGCAGTACAATTAAGCCCATTAACAAGTCCATGTAGGCTCTGCATTAATGCAAAAGGAGTTGGGGGGCATGGGTTCCTAGGTTAACATAAGGGACTGTAGCTCCACTTAAGCACATTAACAGTCCCTTGTGCCCTTTGTGGTAATGCAAATTGAGTAGGAAGGGAATGGATTCTAGAGTGACAAAAGGAACTGTAGCTGTAATAAAGCTCATTAACAGTTCCAAGTACCCTCCGCAGTACCCTCCTCACTCAAAGGGAGTTAGGTGGGGATGGGTTCCTAGGTTAACATAAGGGACTGTAGCTGTCTAAGTCCATTATCAGTCCCTTGTACTGCCTGTAGTAATGCAAATCATCTAGGAGGGGAATTGGTGCTAGACTAACAGAGGGGTCTGTAGCTGCAATCAAGCCCATTAACTGCCGGAAGTATCCTCTGCTGTAATGCAAAGGCAGTTAGTTGGGGATGGGATTCTAGTTTAAAGAAAGGAGTCATTGGGACTGCAATTTTGCACCTGAACAGTGTCAGGAAATGGCCTTAGATAATTAGCACCTTTCAGAAGTAAAGATGGTGCAGGGTTCCTGATACAAAAGGCTCAGGCGTAATCAATTAGGTTTGTGCACATAAAATGTCCTAGTGCAGAGTTCTTAAGTAGTAAGTGTCCTCTGCTGGAATACAAAGTGGGTGGGTGTGACTAATTCACAGGACATTGACAAATGCAACTATGAACATTATCAATTCAAGAGAAGGTTCCTTGAGAGTCTGACCCATATAGCATGCAAATGGGATACAGTGGCCCATTAAAATGGATAGGACTCTGGACAACTGCAACTGTGCAAATTAACTGTCCAAAAGCTGAGTTCTTGAATAATCTGCATGACCTAGCAGCAGTCCACCAAGTGTGGGATTTCATTTTTTATTGCATGGGACCATAGATATATGTAATTATGCACATCAATTGTTTAATAAGAGAAGGGACTTTGGGTAATCAGAACTCCTCAGAAGAAATGGCACAGAAGTAAGGGATATCCTAGGCTAATGGATGGGACCATGGGAAATGAGGATTTTACATATTAATACAAAGTGATAGGTAGTCTGAACTGCCTAAGAGCAATGAAGAGCATGGGCGGGTCTTAACCTGTTAGGCAGGACCATGACTAACAGTAGTTGTACCCATTAATATACCAAAGTAAAGGACTTTGAGGATGAGCACTTCTGCTGTAGTGCAAAAAAGTTGCAGAGGACTTGTGTAATGAACAATTGGGATTCTTCTCATTAATAATTCGAGGAAGATGGTCTCAGGTAGTCAGCACTGCCTAATAGCAATGCGAATGGGATGGAGGGTCATTGATTAATGGGGAAGACGATGTACAGTTTGGTACTTTAATTGTCCAAGAACAGCAGGACTCCCGAAAAGCAGAGCAAAATTGGTAGGATGCCTTTGTTTAATGGACAAGGCTATGACAATTGGGACTGAGCACATTAACTGTGGAACAAAAAATCTGGGTTTTCTGTGCCCCCTGCTGAATGCAAAAGGGTTTTTGACTGGGATCTAATCCAATGGGCAGGATTATGAACAATTAGAATTTCACTCAGTGCAAAGAGTTTAGGTGGTCAGCACAGTATATATGCACTGTCCAGAAAACTGGGATTGTGACTACTGCAGCAATGACAGAGGAATGGTTTCTCCTTCCTTAAGGACAGGGGATTGAGAAGATTGAGTAACTAGACTTATGAAAGCTCTCAATTAATTAACATTTCCTAACAATGCAAAGGGTGTGTGGATTCTTTGTTCTAACATGGGACAATGGACAAAAGGGATTCTGTACATTAATTGAAAATGGTGACTCAGGTAGTCAGCATTCAAGATCTGCAATGCTAGAGGCACACAGGGTATCCCAGTCTACTGGGTGAGCAACGGACAACTTATTTTTAGCACTGAATCAATGCAAATTTCACGGGCTTTAGGGAGAAACAGGACTGAGCCTGGGCTGGGGCTGGGGCTGGGGTTGGGGCAGGGGCTGGGGCTGGGGCAGGGGCAGGGCCAGGGCCAGGGGCTGGGGCAGGGCCAGGGGCTGGGGCTGGGGCTGGGGCCGGGGCTGGGGCCGGGACGGGGGCCAGGGCTGGGGCCGGGGCGGGGGCTAGGGCCGGGGCTGGGGCCAGAAAGGGGGTTGCTGGGAACAGGGCTGGGGTGGAGCTAGAGGCTGTGGAGTCAAGGAACCACAGAAAATTGAAATTATGAGCAATAATACTCCAATATAATAAGTTCGAATAGAAGAAGCAAGTCCACAGCAATTCAAGTTTCCTGCAGATAGGTGGGTCATTAGTCAATTAGTGCAGCATTAAGGGTGAGAACAAAGCAAGGCCTGGACCGGAGTGGACCTTCAAATATTACTTTTTACATTCAGTCATAACGTTAAATTTTTAATTAACTACTTCTGTGCTATAAGACTCTTCAAAAATCCAAAGGGAAGTAGTTTATTAAGTCAGCCCCAGAGTAAAAAATAGTAAAAACTTTAAAGTGGCTTATTATTTTACTTTGAATATCTAAAGACAAAAAAAGTGTAAGCAATTTGTAGAAAAAGAAACTGAAAATTTTAAGGAATTTTAAAGGAACCCAAACATGAAAACCAATTAAATGTAACTGAAATGAAGTCTACAAATAAAGCCCCTAAATACATTTTCATAGTAGTCCCTTAAGGCTTAAATCGAACACTAGCAAACCACATAATCAAACTATGTATGACTGACATCCAAGAAACAAATAGAAATCAAAATCCGACCCCAGCATTAGCCATGGGGTAGGTGTTCCTCTTGAGGAAGGCAGGGATTCCTCTTCTGCCACCTGTTGGCCAACGATCATCTGCGATCCATTCTGGTCCTTGCCACGACTCACCGCCATTTTCACACTTGGCAGGCATGGAGCACTGCCCCTGGCCAAAGTGCAGAAGAGCAGAGGCGGGGTTGGCGGGGGCGGGTAGTACACTAGCCTTAGGCCACGGCACCAATGCAGAGGAATGGCGTGAAGTTCAGCCCGCACAACCTAATATCCTGCACTGCAAGTGGCAATGCCGGAGGGGAGGGAGCAAGCGAAAGGGGAGGGAGGTGGAAAGGCCAAATGTCCTTGGAAAGACCTTGGTACCACCCACTGGGAGTAGTACAAACGTGGCCCGTCCTGACTGGCTGAATAGAGACGGTAGCAAGGTGCTATTCTAACTCGGTCTAATTCCATCCTCCACTAACTGGCTGCGACCAATTCCACCATCCTTTCTGATTGGGTGGGTCATGCGGCAATCCAACATTGCCAATCCCTCCTTTCACTTTTTCGCGGCAAAGCCCGCCATCTTTAACAATGCGGCAGGCCCTCCTGGTGCAAAGCCCGCCAAGAATGTAACGGTCGCTCACCCCTGCCATGACATCCACGTGACAAACTGCCATGATATCCACATGACAAGGTCAGCCATATTGTCCCTGCAGCAAAACCTGTCAGGAAATGCACACGGCAAAGACAAAGGCCCGCCATGTTTTAGACTGCGGCAAGTACTTAAGCCGCCATCTTTTACTATGTAACAGAATATTTCCACCGCCATGCTGCACACTAGAACAAAGACACCCATGATGTGGCTTCCCGCCACTGGAACACTGCGGCAAAATGGATCCGCCATTTTGAGCACTCTAACAAAGCAGAGAGCCATGCTAAGCAATGCTGCAAAGTCAAAATCGCCATTTTGAACCCTGCGCCTAGGTCCTCTCCCTCTCATTTTCGATTAGCCTTTTGTAATGTGACACAGGATGATCCTGTTTTTCCACCTCATGATACCACAATTCATGCAAAACTCCTAACATGACCCAAATCAGCTCATTCAAAACACTTAACTCATGCAATGCATATCATTTCCTCTGCCTGTCCCACTATTCATCTTACCTTCCTGGTTTATATTTAGCACAAACAACTAGCTCTCAGCCAAGCTGGGCGGCAATTCTAAAGTGGCCGCCATCTTTCCTCCCCAGCCTAACCAACCCCCTAGCCTAACTGCAAAGTCATCTCCCAGCCAAAGCCGTAGGTCCACTCACACAACACCAAACGATTAGCAGCAACATTTTGTAGACATTCCAGATAGTACAACGAACCACAAAACCCAACACTTTTCCATCCATAAAAAGCCCCGATGGGCGATGAAAAAAAAAATCTAAGCAGGTATCCGCGGCCCCGATGGGCAAGGAAAAAAAAAATTAAAGCAGGTATCCGAGGCCCCGATGGGCAAGGAAAAAAAGAAAAATCAAAGCAGGTATCCAAGGCCCCGATGGGCCAAAAAATAAATTAAAAAAAAAAAAAAGGCAGGTATCCATTGCCCCGTTGGGCCAGAGGGTTGGAGAGAGAGGGGGTACACAGCAGGTATCCGAGGCCCCGATGGGCTAAGGGAAAAAAAAATTAAAAGCAGGTATCCGCGGCCCCGATGGGCAAAAAAATAACAATATTAAAACCAGGTATCCACAGCCCCGATGGGCAAAATATAGAAAAGGGGGAGAAAAAGAAGACTAAACCACAAAAAACCAGAGGAGTCAACCAAAAATCATTCCAAAGAAAAATTCCTTTAAAATGGAAAACTGCCTAAAAATATCCCAAATATCTGTAAAATAGCGAGGTGTCAAGAAAATACTAGGAGAAATTTCAGATTTTTAAAAATATTTTATGAATTTTTGGTGAATTTTTTAAAAGAAATACGCCATAAGGCATGGTTGGGGGCTGGAAAATGTTCCAGAAAGAACCACAAGGGCAAAGAGATCCAATATGAGCAAGCTTCTACCCCGGGAAAAGAAGAAATATGGCGGTCGCAGCAAAGTGCAGCGCTTTAAGAAGTGAGAGGGAGGGGACTGAGGGCGGAGGGAGTAGAAGAGGAGTGGCCTAGAAGATTGAAAGCCAGACATATTTGTAGTTTAGCCAGCTCAAAAATTTACCCAGTAACAAGAAAAAGAGAGATTTCAAAAAAAACCAGCAACATACTAAAAAGAACATTAGACTGGAGGTAGGCTTCATTTCTAGTCTAGGAGCCACGACTTCAAAGGGTTTACAATGGGTTCGCATCTGTAAAATAGGGACGTTGAGTAAATCAAATTAGATAACTGATGTTAAAATTCTCCACAAACAGTATAGCAAATGAAAAGGTTTTAGTTTAATTTGGTTTTGAAATAGGAGGAAAGGGGAAGTAGAGCTTTGATATGTTAATAAAGTATCCAAATACCTCATTTAGCCAGAATGTATAACTGCCCCACCAAACGTTTGAACCAAAGAAGCTAGGAAGGGGCAATACATTAAGGTTAGAACCCTCTTCAAGGGACTTTCCCTTCCGTTATCTAATGTGATAGTGAAGGTTTACTCGAAAAAGAGACCCATAAAGGTTACACGATGTGCTCAAAGTCACACACCATGATTCTGATTCAGTGTATTTTCTACTCCAGCACTCTGCCTGTGTGGCCCCTGATAATAGAAGACTGGAAGTGCTTCTAAGTGAACAAGAGAGGAAGGAAAAGACATTTCACAGAATGCCGATTTAGCCCCTAAATAATCTATATTATTTTTAATTTTTAAACTGTGAAACCTTAATCTTTAGTATTTTCTACTTCCTCCGTGAATCTGATTACCCCAACAATGAAGCAGTCATAAGTGTAGAGTAGCAAAGTTCACCCGCTGCCAGTAACTGGTAGGAAAATGTTCATATAAAAGCCAAAGCTTCCCCCAGAAAGCTGGCTATTTAGGTGAGAAGCAATTAATCTCCTAAACCATCCTATACGGTTTATCAGAGAAACAATAGAGAAACTGAGGGAGACGATGGAAACTAAGTATTACACACAACTCCTAGAAAATCAAGGGATACATTGCCCTCCCAGTGGCTGAACTGGAAAGTGTAACTATTAACCCAAATAGTATCAGGTAAGGATGCCCTCCAGTCTCCAAATAAGTAATAAGGTATGCAAAATTTTCTTCCTTAAAGGACACACTCCATCTTCTAAGTGCTCTTGGTTCACACAAAAAGGTAATCTGACTTATACCAAATGAAGGATATTGCATTGTAAAAGTAGTATAATTTTCCATAGGACCTTTCCTCAACACTCAAAACTTAAACTATGAAGCAAATGCCTACAAACAAATTTGTTATGTTTTCCAGATTTGGGGAAGGAAATGGGATTCATATATATATATATTTCTGAAAGTCTTTAAAATTTCACCCTAATTTAGTCTTTCACAAGTTTCTAATGAGACAAATAGAGGAAAAGGAGTCTTTCGTTGCATAGAGTGGTAAATTGAGATTGAGGGATGTTGTTTTCTTTGCTTTTGGCTTAAAAACTAGTGGCAGCAAGAGGATCCCACAGTAGAGGTCCTTGGACTCAGATAATTTTGGTTGCACTTTAGTGAAATATCCCTGTTGAGAAGACTGCCTTGCATGTCAAATCTCTCTAGTGAGAATTGTGGAATTTAAATGGAGTTTAAAATTACTGTAGTGATCACGGTATATTTGAAAAATAACCATACCTGTAAAAGGCAGTAAATAGTGACAAACATTTTGATATCGTTTCAGTCAGCAGAAAAAAAATGATTATATAAGTGGTTGTTATGTAACAACTACTGTGATCTCAGCCTAGACTAACCAGCAAGACCTAAAAAAGCAAGTCAACTATCACCAGTAGCAACACTATCAGGTCCTAAGCTCCTTCTCTATAGGCCACAAACTAATAGTATCACCAGGAATCTGATCCCATTATAGAATTTAACCTGTTTCAGCTTATTTTGTCTTTAGCACAGGGTACCAATTATTAGGGTAACTAGGCCTGTCCAATAGAATTTTCTACAATCGTGGAAATGTTCTATACATTTTAGACTTTGAGTTAGGAAAAATTTTCTAAAACAAGACTCAAAGTGCATCCACTACTAAAAAATTGATAAAGTTGAATTTTTGAAATCAAAATCTTTTGTTTCACAAAAACACTTTAAAAGGTGAA